ATCCTTCCTATAGTGTGGTGACCAGAACTGCACACAGCACTCCAGCTATTGCCTGACCAAAGTCCTGTACAGCTCCAACATAACCTCCCTGTTCTTACAAGACCATAAGACATAGGAGCAGAAATTAGGCCATTCGGTCCATCGAGTCTGTTCCGCCATTCAATTATGGCTGATAAGTTTCTCAACCCCATTCTCCCGCTTTCTCCCCATAACCCTTGATAATCAAAAACCTATCTATCTCTGTAGTAAATATACTCAATGACCTGGCCTCCACAGCCTTCTGTGGCAGTGAATTCCATAGATTCACCAGTCTCTGGCTGAAGAAGTTTCTCCTTATCTCTGTTCTAAAAGGTCTTCCCTTTACTCTAAGGCTGTGCCCTCGGGTCCTAGTCTCTCCTGTCAATGGAAACATGTCCCCAAACATCTGAGATAACAAGGTGTAGAGCTGGATGAACACAGCAGGCCGAGCAGGAAAGCTGACGTTTTGGGTCTAGACCCTTCTTCAGAAATGGGGGAGGGGAAGGGGATTCCCGCTTGGTTTCCCTGATGTAGAGGCTTGGGGACCGCTTTGTGGAACACCTACGCTCAGATCGCAACAAACAACTGCACCTCCCAGTCGCAAACCATTTCAACTCCCCCCCTCACTCCTTGGACGACATGTCCATCCTGGGCCTCCTGCAGTGCCACAATGATGCCACCCGAAGGTTGCAGGAACAGCATCTCCTATTTCGCTTGGGAACCCTGCAGCCCAATGGTATCAATGTGGACTTCACAAACTTCAAAATCTCCCCTCCCCCTACCGATCCTAAAACCAGCCGAGCTCGTTCCCGCCTCCCTAACCTGTCCTTCCTCCCACCTATCCCCTCCTCCCACCTCAAGCCCCACCCCTATCTCCTACCTACTAACCTCATCCTGCCCTCTTGACCTGTCTGTCCTCCCTGGACTGACCTATTCCCTCCCTAACTCCCCACCTACACTCACTTTTACTGGCTCCATCCCCGCCTCTTTGACCTGTCTGTTTCCTCTCCACCTATCTTCTCCTCTATCCATCTTCTATCCGCCTCCCCCTCTCTCCCTATTTATTTCAGAATCCCCTTCTGCTCCCCCATTTCTGAAGAAGGATCTAGACCCAAAACGTCAGCTTTCCTGCTCCTCTGATGCTGCTTGGCCTGCTGTGTTCATCCAGCTCTACACCTTGTTATCTCAGATTCTCCAGCATCGGCAGTTCCTATTATCGCTCCCCAAACATCTACTTTTGTCCATGCCGTTCAGTATTATGTAGTTTCAATTAGATCCCCCCTCAATCTTCTAAATTCCATCGAGTATAGACCCAGAGTCCTCAAACGTTCCTCATATGTTAAGCCTTTCATTCTTGGGATCATTCTCATGAACCTCCTCTGGACCCACTCCAGGGCCAGTACATCCTTCCTGGGGTATGGGGTCCAACATTCCTCACAATACTCTACATGTGGTCTGACCGGAGCTTTATAAAGCCTTAGAAGTACATCCCTGCTTTTATATTCTAGGCCTCTCTAAATAAATGCCAACGTTGTATTTGCTTTCCTAACTACCAACTCAGCCTGCAAGTTTACCTTAAGAGAATCCTCTAAGTCCCTTTGCACTTCAGATTTCTGAATTTTCTCCCCATTTAGGAAATAGCCTATGCCTCTATTCTTCCTATGAAAGTGCATGACTTCGCACTTTCCCACACTGCACTCCATCTGCCACTTTCTTGCCCATTCTCCTAACCTGTCCAAATCCTTCTGTAGCCTCCCGCATCCTCAATACTACCTGACCCTCCACATCTTTGTATCGTCTGCAAACTTAGCCAGAATGCCCTCAGTTCCTTCATCTAGATCATTAATGTATAAAGTGAAAAGTTGTGGTCCCAACACTGACCCTTGCGGAACACCACTTGTCACCGGCTGCCATCCTGAGAAGGACCCCTTTAACCCTAATCTCTGCTTTCAGCCAGACAGCTAATCTTCTATCCATGTTAGCACCCTGCCTCTAACACCATAAGCCCTTATCTTACTCTGCAGCCTCCCGTGTGGCACCTTGCCAAAGGCCTTCTGGAAATCCAAGTAGATAATGTTCATTGGCTCTCCTTGGTCTAACCTGCTCCTTACATCCTCAAAGAATTCTAATAGATTTGCCTTGACTGAACACGATAAATGAGCTGTATGCCAATTTAACTACTCTATTGACCTGCCTGCTATCTTCAGGGACCTGTGGACATACACCCCAGGATCCTGCAGGGCTTGCTCATGTCCTATATTCATTGTTAATGCCCTTGTCTTGTTCCTTCTTGCAAAGTGCATCACCTCAGATTTATCAGGGTGAAATTCCATCTGCTACTGATCTGCCCATTTGACCAACCTGTCTATATCCTTCTGTAACTGAACACCCTCCTTCCTCACTGTCAACCATCTGGTCAATCTTTTGGCTTTTACCTACTTTATCAGTCTCCCATCTAGGACCTTGCCAAAGGCTTTGCTGAAATCCCTCTAAACCGCATCAACTACATTATCCTCATCTCTACACCTGATCGTCACCTCAAAGAATTCAATCAAATTTGTTAGACATGACCTCCCTCTGACAGAGCCATGCTGACTATCCCTGACCAAACGTTGCCTTTCCAAGTGAAGATTAATTCACTCCTTCAGAAATGTCTCCAATAGTTTCCCCGACACTGATATGAGACTCACTGGTACGTCATGTGGTTAATGTTATCCTCTGTAAAACGGTTTTAGTTGATGCAGTGGAGTCTGCTAGTATTTATAGAAAATGTCTATTCTTTTGAACCCCTTATAATTGAAGGCTTCTGACCAATAGCCTCAAAGAGTTTGTGTTGATATAACTTTAAATTAGTCGACACATAACTTGAGAGAAAATGCCCTTGAAAAGGGAGCAGCTATAAACGAGGGCATGAGCCAAGTTGGAAAAAGCTGTCCTAATGTTGAACTTCCTGATTGCAGAGTGCTGCCTCCTTTGATGATGTCGAGCAGCTGGCTCCAGCGTATCAGAAAACGAAGCCGGTCGAAGCTGGTATGTACAAATGTCACACAGAGATTCTCATCCTGAGTGCTCACTTTGTTCAACCTGGTGCTGATGCCATGGCTGGATCCATGTGATCTGATCTCCTGACCACCTCCACTCCTCACCCAATTAGCTTCACTGATTGTGGAGACATTTCACTCTGTAGTTTGTTTTTTTTTTACATCTATATAAATCCTTGGAAATTGCTGCTCAGTTGGGTGGGCTCCTCAACATGTTTTTTGGAAATCTGTGAGAATATCGATGACAACTTCATGATTTGCTTTATTTTCAAGTAGTTCTGAAGAAGAGTTATGCCAGATTTGAAACATTAACTATGTTTCTCCCTGCACAGAGGCTACAAGACCTGCTGAGTTTCTCCAGCAGTCTCTCTGTTCTCATTCTTGGATTTACAGCATCCGCAGTATTTTACTTTGCTGTAATTTAGTCCATTCTGTTTGCTTTGCAGCCAGTGCAAGTACAAGCAGCATCCGTTCCAAGTTTGAGAACATTGCCAAAGCGAAGGAGGAGGAGGATAGAAAGAAGGCAGAGGAAGAGAGAGCTCGCCGTCGGGCCAGCGAGAAACTAGAGCAGGAGGAAGCCAAAAGGAAATTGGAGGTTGGTGACAAATCTTTGAACTTTTGCGAATCTTAATGCTGATGCAGGACTGGCACCTGGTCAATCAATCTGATGTTTGAGCAATCACTAGAAATGGAGCAAACCAGAGGCTGTTCAAATGACCTTCCCAATTTGGCCCCAATCGCGACGACAAAAAAACTTGGCCTGCTGTGTTCATCCAGCTCTACACCTTGTTATCTCAGATTCTCCAGCATCGGCGGTTCCTACTATCTCTGTTCAAATGTCTGGCCAGTTTCTACTGGATGTAAACTTGCAATGAACCAAGCAACTTTTATCTTCCCAGATGAATTGCTCTTCATTTGACGGTAATTACCTTCCTGATTGGGGGTGAAATCTCCAAATACAGTCTTGAGTTTGAGGAGTGGCCCCTGATGAAGTATCACAGGGTCACGTAGCTGGTTTTTTGTGTTTCTCACTCTGGGTGTAGGTTTTGGTAGTATTGTAACTGTCCATCCATCTGTTTGTGAACCAACATTACAATCTGTGGCTTCCAGCCAATACTTAAAGCAAAGGCTTGCATTTATACAGCACTTTTCACAAGCTCAGGATGTTCCAAATTGCTATGTAATAAACAAAATATTTTTGAAGTGTAGTCATAGCTGCAATGTAAAAGCATTGTAGCCAATTTGTACTCAACTTCTCACAAACTGCAATTAGACAGTGACTAACTCACGTGTTATGGCGATATACAAATAGGAATTTTGGAATAGGACACAGAATAAATATTGGCCAAGTTGACCAGTCCTGGTTTGAGTGCAATCCAAATTATGCCAGGAATCCAGTTGGTAATTTCAAGGAATGCAGTGTGTAGTTCTGATGTTTCTTTGGTTTACTTGCTCTGTGACAAGATGTGAACACTCTAAAAGAAAGATAATAGCACTTTCAGACATCCCAAAGCATTTAACAGCCAGCAGATACTTTGGAAGTGTTTTCACTGTTGTATTGCAGGAAGCATAGCAGCCAATTTGTATACAAACAGAAATGTGATAATTAAACAAAGAGCTGCAGATGCTGGAAATCTGAAACAAGTACAGAAATTGCTGCAGAAACTCAGAAGGGAGAAACCAAATTAACATTTCAACTCCAGTGACACTTCAACAGAACTGACTGCCAGTTCTGACAAAGGATCATAACTGGATTGGAAACGTTAATTCTCTGTCTCTGATTCCACAGTATCTGCCAGATCTGCAATGTGATTTTGACCCAGGCAATCAATGTTTAGCTGATGTTACATCACTGTGTTTGACCTTTCCCACTGTCTGATGAGCTGTTCTAGTGAAGTAATGAGGAAGGAGGGGCAGACAGTTGATGTTGGGTAGATGTAAGGTTGCAGTATTTTAATGAGTTAATATACTGCTGCAAGCTGTTGCCTTTTGGCTTTAGCAGAAATTTGTAAGAATTTCTCAGTGAGACTTCAGACACTGGGGTCTGTTGTTTGATTTGTTCATGGCACGGGTGACATGTCACCTTGGGATGACTGATCTGCCAGGGCCCACTGAGGAACGGTGATGTGGTCCCATGGTTTTGGTGAGGAATGAGATACCCATCAACGCATTATTCCTTAGATGTGTAAAAATGTTAAAACGTAGTTACGGTTAAGGATTGTAGGATTTTGAATTAAATTTGTTGTGAGATAGAGGTTTTTCCTACTAGTAGGAGAGTGTAGGTCAAGGGGCTATTGCCTTAAAAATAGAGCCAGGCTAATTAGGAAGACAAGAAATCTTTCCTACCCTGAGGGTGTTGAATGTATGGGATTTTCTGGAATGAAATGTTGGATCAATTAATAATTTAGGTTGAGATTGACAGCAGCATAGGTTGAATGGCTCACAATATCTTTCTGACTCTCCTGTCACTGTCCGTGTCCATGATGGATTATAGTTGAACAATGGTGAAGAAGGTAGACAGCCAATGCTGCTGGATAGAGCTGAGACACAAATCAGCCAAGATCTCTCCCAATGACAGAAGAGAGTCAAGATTCTGAATGACCAACTGCTGTTTCTGTTTTCTGATTGACTGATTGTTCATTGCATTTGTTCATGGGACGTTACCCTGTGAGAATTAACCCCAAAATATTTGGAACTTGAAAGACGCCACATAAATGTTCATGCTTTAGCAACATCATGCTAAGGTGATTAACATTGCCAGTTTTAAACTAAATATATTGTTCCATTCACATTTAGCAACAAATTCTAAGGCATTTATTTAAGTGGAAAGACTATGGTAGCTTATTTAGGGCTAGAGACAGTGAGTGAGAAGCTAATGTTTGTTAGATAAAACAATTAAAAGTTTCATGATAAGATGATGCAATGACTGTAAATGTGAAGCTTGTTTTGAAATGAATGATGGTAAGTAACTGATTTAATTCTCGTTATATTCTGTGGTCCCCATCATGTTAATGATGTGTGTCTACAACACAACAAAGAACCAAGTTAACTAGAAAGCACTTTGAGAAGCCCAGATGCCATGGAAATTGCTATAAAAATGCAGTTTGTTCACACTTGTCACCAGGTGTTCCACATATTGTTGGAGCTGGAACTTGGAAAATGCCATACCGAGATTTTAGTATCGAAATTTTTGATGGTTGGTCTTGAAACAAAGGTTTTGCAATGCATCTTGATGCTTTTAGCTTGAACCTGTTATTAATAAGTGAAAAAAGGGATTCTTTTGAAGAGAAACATTCATTAGAAACCTTTGTTGTTTCAAAAGAAATGACCAATTTGGAGGGACAACAATGAGAATTATTGGATTGATTCCCTGAATTTTTGATTCCATTCATTACTGCTGGTAAGTTAACTCTGAATATGTTTTGTCTGACCAATAAGTGTATTAACATGAAATATTTTCTGTTTTTGGAAAGCAGGAGCAAGAATTCACAAAGAATCAACTCCCTGCATCCCGGGAGCCTCCTGCATCCCGGGAGCCTCCTGCATCCCG